ATATAAATCTCAGTTTCAAAAAAACTACAGTGAACATTGGACAATTGCAACATCGGAGACCGTTTCGTACTTGCGAGATTGTCATTTTCACCATGTGGTAACATGGCCCGATCATTTTCGAACTCGTCGATTTCAACGTCTCCTTCTTTCCTATTCGCAGTCGTTCTTACATCCAAAACTTCAAGCTTATTATACAAATAATTAGAACTGTGTTTCTATCGTGGTTGGTGTCATTTTAATCAGAAAAACACAACATGTCAGTAAAACTTTCATTCATCAAAAGTCAAAAGTGAAAGAGTTTGATGTTTGAGTTAACCTTTTGGATACTATGCGCCACGACAGTGGCTTTCGTGTGTATCATCTTTTTGAACAGTACGCCACCATAACGGTTGAATTCTTTTTCTGTCGTCGATAGCTGTGCACGTTATAGCCTAATCTACCGTAATTGCACAGCGGGGCATTCTATCAGTCTTAAATCACAGTACATTTATGATTCGCAGACCTTGTGAAACCTTGCTGTACAGCGGTGTAGCTTTGTGGCTAGTGGTAGCTTAGAAATGAAAGATCACAAGTTCATCGCGAGCCTTTAACGCTAGAACTACCGAGCAATAAAATTGATTATTCCGTATTTCCTTATAAAATGTATAAAAATACACTTATTAAGTGTTCAATTTTCTTACATCCTTGTTTGTATTTATCTAAATCAATTTATTGAATAATTTCTCAGAAAATCTCCTGTGCCTCTTCCATAATTGCAAAAGTGACACGAAACCAGTGTTAATGTCGCCGAACGCTTCGACTCTAAGTCTTTCCTTTTCCTTCACTCCTGTTGTCCTTCCTCGCGTTCGCCATGCTAACATCTTCGCGTCTTGGGATGGACTCGATTCTGCCTCTTCGTAATTGCAACCTTCCGCCGAGTGTTGCAATTGTTCAATGTTCACTGTACTTCAATATGCCCAAGCGACTGTTTCCCCAAAGAACTCCGGGAACCCGGGCGCGTATCAGCGTGCCTGGCTGCTTCGTGGGATCGCTGAAAGAGGAAACCAAGTGTCAGGGCTGCGAATAGCGTAACCGAGGTAAAGTAATCGGACGAGACCGCACGTCGTAGACGTCCCCCCTCCCCTCCCAGCGTTGTTCCTCCTACAGTGTCCGTTTCCCGGCGGGTTAATGGTTTAATCCTAACACGGATGTTAACCAGATTACCGGCCGGTGGCAGTCGAGAGGGTCCAGATCCTCCGGCTGCGGTCGTCGCGAAACGAATTAGCCGCGGTTACGTGGATAACGACAAAAAGGGTCGATCGAGTCGCGATCCGAGCTACCGTCTGCCACGGCCGCCAACCATCCGCAATTTTCTGCAACGTCGCTCCCTTCTACGGCCATCCTGGCATCCAGGGATCTTGTCCCGTGTGTCGCTTCTTCCTCTCCTCCCTGCCAGCCAGATTGCCCTCCCACGAGCCACACGAGAACCCGCGGGGATTTTATGTGAAAAGGAAGATGCGTGAAACAAGGGGAACACTTTCCGTTACGGCTGTCCGGGCAGCGTTCTCGAGCGGTTTTTGAGCGCGTTCCGCGTTTTCCGTGGAACGTTTCGTTCGTTCCTTCAGTTCGCCTCGGACGACCGTGTACCAGGTTTTCTAGACCACGAATTCCTATTCCGTTTCAAACACGATGGACCCATATACGAATTAACTCTTCTACAACGAGAGTTTCTGAAGCTTCGAAAGATTCTTTGATGAGTCGGCGCATTAAATATTAGAGAAAGAGAAACATCGATTTCCCGTTACTTGAACGCTAAAATTTTATTTTACTTAAAGGAGGATGTTGATAAAGTGAAAAAAAAAACTCTATTTTCCATAGCTGAAATTCTATTCGACATTTTTCTTTCGAACGAACAGTTCCAAGAGAAGAGCGGTTTCATTCGTTTAAGCTACGCGTTCATTGTTCCGCCGCGAATGTTTCACGGTGCCGTTAAAAAGTAAGTTACCAGAGGACCCGGCCTGCGGGTGAAGTTCACATTCGTTCGTTTCCCGGTTACCGCGTTTCACCGTTTTCCGCTGTTTTATGAAATAAGGTCTGAAAATTCCTCTAATTGTCGTCCGTGTACCTTCCCTCTCCTTCACCCCTTTCCGCTGTCCCTCTCGCCAGCCACGCCGCCGATTTATTCTTCTTTTTTTCCTGGCGGACCGCGGGGCTGAAGCGGAGGACCCGCTCCTGCCGGTGCCACCGGCCGGGAGCCACAAATATTATATTGCCCCTGAATTATACCGTCATAAAAACGTGATGAAGCGGCCGCGGACTGGCAGTGTCCGGCATATGGCCCGAGAAATCAAAAGGAACGGGAATAATGGTCAATGAACAGGCCGAGCAGGCTAATATATTCGTTTTTCTCCGCGCGGATTCGCGATTCTGTCGTCGCCCGAGGACCTCTCCATTAATTCTGCCCGCGACGTCGCGTTTGTTCAACCGTCCGACCCGATTTTTTCCATTTTTATTTATTAACTTGCGCGCCGGTAAGTTATATACTAACGTCGCCTTCAACCGGACTGAATGGACGAAATAAAGAAGCCAGAAAAATAAACGAGAGGTTCGTCTTCGACGGTGTCAACCGTTGATCCTTCCTGAAACAACGAAGCTCTTTAATAGATCGACTATCACTTCGAATATTTCGGTATCTTCCGCCAGCGTCGAACACTTCCGAACATTCTCTTTGATCAATGCCGCTCACAACGATCGGAGTGTATTTCTTAATATTACAAAATAGTATATTATCCTCAAAATCGAGTGAAGCTACTAACTCCACTGCTGCATTATGTTGATCAACAACTACTCGAAAAAACAGTGTCGATGCCGCAGTTAACTGAAAATATCACTGGCTGTCAGCCTGTTGGAAAGCAACAGATTAACACGTTAAGCGAATGAGAATGTTTAACCCCTTAGCCTACACGCTATCCGCCGATCGCGCGAGCTGTAGTAAACAAGAAGGTCGGAATTGAAGGTATTTACCACGAGTCGGACTCGTCGTTTTCGCTTATGGCACAAATTCCTTACCACGAGTCTCACTCGTGGTTATAGGCCAAGGGGTTAATAACGTAACTAAATCGGTAATACTGTAATGCCAAGATTACAACGCCGAACAGTTAATAATTGTCCTTATTTTTCTTTGCTACAAAGGAATAACTACGGAAACGCAGTCGAGATTTTCGTGGCGCTTAACGTGTTAAACTTCCTTAGCGTTCGGTAAACTATGCTCAACCGAAGAGAAATCTGGTACCCGCAACGCGAATGGAAACCAGTAAATAAAAATGACTTTTCTTTCGCGCGCTTCTTCTGGCGGAATGGTTTTCGAAGATTCAGAACAGGTTCCCGGATCCTGGAAAGACATAAAAACAATTCGGAACCGTTGCCGACCGCGTCGTTGTCATTAGCGTCCGTATCACGACACTCGAAGTTCAACCGTCAGATAAAAGCAGTTAGTACCCACATTCCCTGCGACACGCTCGAGATGTCGACGTGGCGGGCGTTCTTCCTGGAAATCTCCGAGTGGCGAACTTCATCCTGTTTCGACGAAGGAAGCACGTTCCCTGAATCGCGAGGCGGCCACGCGAAAGAACGTGTTTGCGGAGCGAAGAACGTGCTGGCCTGCTTGCCAGCTCGACTCTTCTCGGGCTGGCCGGGCATTAGTACTTCCCGACGTTTGCCGCGGAAACTCATCTCGCCGCATGATTATCGGCATGTACTGGTAAATCGCGTACACTGCGGCCGGTAATGGGAGCACACCGCTATCACCGGCCCGGCATCCCGATATTACCTTAGAACATCGATAATTATGCTTGTCGTTAGAGTACACAGAAAGATGGCCGGATAACGCGCTCTGATCGAAACACGTGTATCGGTCGAGTCTGGTGTTATCGCCCGAAATAACAGGCTTTTGGGAAAGATTTATTACCAAGAATTAGGATAGACTCCTCATTGTTCTTTTTTCGAGTGATAGACTAATCTGAAACGTGACAATGTCTTCATTGGCCGTACGTTGCGAGGAAATCGAGGATTTCCTTGTTGTTGGCCCACAAACCGCCGATTACTTAGAACGTAAATGATTTTTGTCTACCTGTTACCGAAGAATTTGTGTATATAACGATATGGACGAACAATCACAATTCATTTCTAAGCAGAATTTGATTTGTCGGTTTCAATGCACGATCATTGATTCTTTGCTATAGTCCAGTTGCTATCGAGAAACGAATCTTTATGACACTTTTGTATAATTTCGTATTTCACTGTTGCTGCCAGTGAAATAAGGAGGCCGTAGTCTGTTTAAACGGGAAATTAAACCGAAGTATATTGACAACCGTAATAACTGCCCACTTTTATTCAAATGTCACGAGTCTGGGCTAGATCTGAACTTTCGGAAAGGAACAACCGTTATAAGAAGAAAGCGTCAGGCGTATCCTTTCGTAAAACGGGTTTGGAATAGATTATTGGCAAAACTGTCAACAGAAGTTACACCGCTCGGACAGTGAGCCCGGTGAACCCGAATGATTTATTTCAGTTAAGGGGAACATTGGTGAATAAAACTTCGTCGGACGAGTCTGGTATATCGATGCTCGATCTGTTCAGCAAAGCAACATTTGTTTCGCGTTTTATTTTACGATAAGGGTGAACGAGGAATGAGCCGATAGCTAATAATCGTACAATTTTCATCCGCTGAAAATAAATACGGAGCGCGATTTAAAATTACCACTATTCTGCATTACGAGATAAGCGCATGAAATTTATAGCTGCGGGTCTGACCGGTGTGAATCGTGCCCCGCCAGGTATAAATATCAACTAACATCGGCAGAGTTATGCTACCCGATGATAATAGTGTTTCATGGAGTTTCTTTAACTTAAAATACATTGACGTTCACGATCCAACAGTAATATCACATTTGAATGGATCATTTTTAATTTGTATTTCAATGTCGTCGTCATTCGTTTCATTCGTTTATTCATTTGTGCAGATGATGAAGCACGGCTGGGACAACTACGTCAGATACGCCTGGGGGAAGAACGAGTTGAAACCGATCTCGAAGAAAGGTCACAGCGCGAGCATCTTCGGCGCGTCGAACATGGGTGCGACGATCGTCGACGGTTTGGACACTTTGTACATCATGGGGCTGCACGACGAGTTCAAGCAGGGCCGTGATTGGATCGCAGAAAACCTCAATTTCGATATCGTGAGTACCAAAGCTTCTTTTCCTTCGCTGCACCAGCTAAAGCTGCAGCTGGTTGATTTCGCCCTGGGAAACGGCGACACGCGTTAAAGACGAACGAGCGTCCACTGTCGGCGACACGCGCTAAAGACGCGAAGCGTCTGAAGTTCCCTCAAGCGATTTCGAAACGCGACGAGAGACTTGACGGTTTGATTAAAGGCGTAGCGCGCGTCGTTTCACCAAGACGTAACACGATAAAGCTTGCGACCTAGGATTTCAACGAACCATGAAGCCTTAGCGTTACTCGAAACGATAGATCATCGAAGACAAATCGTTAAATACTCTCCGACGACGCCTTACTTTCGTTGAACACGTATTTGACCAAAGTATCGGAACATAAAAGTCAGTTGACCAGTTATTTCTAAACTTAATTATAAACACTATACATACAATGCATTCGACGATTATGGGTCGTGTCTCGAATACTTATAACGCGAAAAGGAACTCTCAATAAATTGCAAAGGAAAGTATTAAGTTATCGCACAACTAATGTTTCTCTACGTTAACTCCTAGACTGAAAGATAGACGCCATTAAAAGAATCTCTTGCAAAGTAAAATAAACGACATTATTCACGGAATGACCTAATAATACAACACTATTCCGTGTAAGCTCGTCAAAGCGCCAACACGAGAAACAGAAGCTTCTACAAACGTACTCCTAACCGAACCAACAAACACTAGATACACAGTACCACGTGTGCGATTACAGAATCGAGACGTTGAACCAACAATGGTCCAGCCGAATCGCGAACGGTCAAAAATCAGCAAGCAACGGCAGCGGACCGTGTTAAGGGAAAACCTCGTGTCTATGTACTCTCCTGCAAGCAATTACACCCCCGAAAGCCCTCGTCATAAATCGAGAATCCCCGGCCACGTTCCCCCGCGTCCCACCTGACAAACGAAGAACAACACTTCCGAAGGTCGGGCTCGTTTAACTTGCTCGATCGCAAGTCAAACAGCCCGCACCCCTGGACCGCTAATAATTCTCGTTCCGCGGGGCCGAAACGCCATGGGACGTTCGACGGCGCGCGCCGCGTCCTTCTCGCCGCGCGAGATTAACAATCCGCCGGCGGGCCTCGTTAATTAACTTAATCGTTATGTAAATCAGTGTCTCCGGTATTTCTCGGGGGGAGAAAACGGCGCGGCGGTTCCAGGTGCCGGGGGTTGGAAGTTTCGTGGCAATAGAAGCCGGAGGAATAAACTTTCGTCCGAGCGTTTTCGCCGACAGACACCCTGGTGTGTGTCCCGTGAGCGCCAGACTCCGAACTTAGACTCGGTTTATCCGAACTTGGTAACAGTACCCTTACCGCTCGCTGCTCCGCCAGCCCCGCCTTCCCCAATGAAACTCTCTATTATCCGGCCGCATCCCCATCCACGCGAACACCCGGCTTAGGGTATACTCCTAAGTGGATAACTTGCTGTATTAATCGGTAACCACCCCGTCCCGGTCCGAAATTCATGCCTATTGTTCCGCGACTACGCCACCCGTCGACAAACGCACCCGATGCCGCGTAATTGTGTCCTGGACAGACGGCAGTGTTCTTTAACTCCGCGGCGCGTCGGTTACTTCGGGGGTGCGGAGGAATCGAATGGGATTTTCTTGGTTGGTCTGTCTTATTGGGGATGTGCGAAGTCGGTAGGAAGTTAGTTGTTTGAATCATCGGACGAATGTGGATATTAGCTTTTAGAGATTCTGGGGTCTCTGCTGTGAGCTTGTGAAAGTTGGGTACTCTGATTATTGGGAGTCCATCTTTGGGTAATGTGTCTTTGGTAATGGTCTTCTGTAAGGAGGAAATAAGAATATATGGTTATCGTTTGGTCACAGTTTTAAGAGATCTATCGAGGGTAGTTCTAATAAATCTGACTATAATGATCTGAATAATTCGCAGCAATTGCCGAGTGGGTTAGTATTTAATAGTACGTCACAGATGAAGGAATGATTACGGGTATTCGCCATTTATAAACAAGGTTTATATGGCTTCTATAAATTTGATATGATAATAAGTATTACTGAAAATAGGATTTTTATCTTCGCCGTCATTTCGCCGATAATCTAGCGATAACGCTTGAACTTCGATCGAACGAAAGACGCGTGAAAGAACAATTTCGAGTTTCTTCGTCGAGCCCTGAAAATGTATCCGCGGAGGGGCTCAAATATTTGGCTTCCTTGGTGGATTTCGATTCCTGGCATGGATAATAGGACGTCAAACATTTTCTTGGTCTGTGCCAACCCCAAGTATTTATGGTGGAATCCTAAACGGATAACTTCTCATATTAGTCACTTCGCCGCACTGCAAACTCGTGCGTAGAAACTGCTCCGTTGGCTCTCGCCGGAATTCCCGGCTGGTATTTCACACTTCTCTAATACGCTTATCATTCGTTGAACTTCCTGCATAAAGGAAATACCATTTCTCGCGAACAGAAAATCCCGTGGCTTCGAGGAAATTGACAGCTTCGCGCAACTGCTGCCCGATCATAATACGATCGAATCCGCAATAACATTTTCAGCTGAGTGTACCGAGTACCGGGAAAATATAAAATAGATGAAAACAATGCTTGGAAGGTATGGAATAAATTCTTGTTCCCTTAAAATAAATGTTTTTAATATTTCATTATTCTTAGGTTGCCTTTTTGCCAAACTTTGTAGTTGTTTCTAAGAATTTTCCAAATTCGTCATATTTCAACGACATTATTTATACTTGCATGACGTATCGCAAACGGGAAACGGCAAAATGTTTCATTTAAATCGCAGCTTTCATTGGTAGAGGAAAATAATTAATTAATGGAATGTTGATATAACACGGTTTCCATTGAAGCATATGAAGTATGGAGTATAAATTTATATTTTTCTGTAATTGGCACGTCAATTTCGAACGAAGTTTTCATGCACGAATAAAAAATATTGATTACAACAACATCGCGGTTCAACAAACCGCCGCCAAGCTATATTCGCCGGGGGAATGTTCATTTTATATGAAAAAAATATTCCATCAAACACGTTCGTTCCATTAGCTTCCGTAACGAATCCCCTCATTGCGTTTCAGATTCAAATGCCACCAGCCATTTTCGGTAAAAAAATTTTTTCCTGGGCTACCTTCGATACAGGGGACAGTCACTGCTTCCACTAGCCGGACGGAAAAATATTCGTATAATTCCACTTTAAACACTCTCGGAGGGCTTAGTATTTTCCATTTATCACTGGAAATAATGTTACGTTTCCGTGGAAAAAACACACGTTATTTCCTGCGTTACTGACTTCGTTGAGTCAGACGTTCGTTCAGGACTCACAAATTGAACGTTTTGAATCCTTAAATTTCTAAACAATGTTTCCTCTTCCTTAACGACACGTTGTCTTTCCACTTCTCTGTTTTCATTGTCTCCTCCTCCCCGATCGCCATATACAACAAAACTTCAAACATACTATTATTTAATGTATTTTAAACATACACTCAGTTCTGATATAACTGAATACCGTCTTAACAACATGCCGATTAGCAAAGTTATATAGGCTGGCATTTGAAATTTGCCGAGACTTCCGCTCGAATAGTGCTCGACGACGACCCCGGTTGAATAGTGTAACATAACTTGTTAACATAGGTCCTTTGCAGTCCTTCTCTATATCCGAATTTAATGTCATTGTAATCAGGAAAACCTAACAAACATGTCAGTGAAAACTTCATTCATCAAAAGTAAAAAATATAAAAGTTCTATTTTTTAATTAAAAATCTCAAGCTTATCGCGAGCTTTTAACACTAACCGTACCGACACTTTGCCCGTCGTAACCAGTCAAATAACTGGCTGTAAAATAAAGATAAACAAATTAGACGATAAACGTCTCGTAGTGAAAACAGAAACAAAAGGAAAGGCAAGAGTTGAAAGACTGAGTAATCGGACAATATAGGAATTGATGTTAACCCTTTGCACTCGGGAAGTGACTGTCAGTCACTACTTGATTCGAGGCGATAAAACCATAAAATCTGATAGTTAATGTTGAACTTCGTTATAATGCCTCGATACGTGAAATATTGGAATAAAATAGCTTTGTTCCTCGACATACTTGTAATTTCCCTGCGAGTTAATTTCAAAGAATATCCTCTTCGCCTAAAAAAATGTTAAATATTTCCAGTGAGAAACTTCCGAGTCCAAAGGATTAAGATTACATGTACGAAAAAGAAATCTAGAATTTTAAATCTGTTCATTTGACCGGTTCTCGATACGGTTAGTGTTAATATTGCCGAACGCTTCGATTCTGAGTCTCTCCTCTTCCTTCGCTCGCGTTATCCTTTCCCACGTCGGCCATGTTAAAATCTTCGTGTCTCGGGATCGATTCGAGTCTGCCTCTTCATAATTGCAACTTTCCGGTCCCGTCGTGCGTTACAATTATCGAATGTTCGCTGTAAACCTCAGCCGCGCCATGATCGCGTGAACGCGACTTCAGCGTGGATTTGCGTGCACCTTCGAGTATCGTCAGGCAGCCAGATTTGGTGTGGGTCGCCTCCCGTCTCGGTGACCACGTGGGTCCCTCGGCTAGCGCATAATACGACGCGGTTTTTCGTTTTACCTGCCACAGTTAAGCCTGCGCGCAGCTTCCTCCTCGAATTTATCGCCCGTCCGAATCACGGACCAGTCCATATAACCCGTTCACGATCGATTCCCACCTTGGGCCACGGTTGCTGGCTCACCCCTTCCATCCCGGCCCATCTCGGCCTTTTTCTCCGCCGGACGCCGCGCCGCAGAATCGGCCGGCCGCCACGCACTGTTTTCATTCTTTTATAAATCTTGCAGAAGGTAATATATATCAACGTACGGACGTATTCACTCGCGGGCCGCGTTTTATGCAGCCGTATCCTTTTTGCATACGCGCGGCATTGAAATTGATTTCGGCCGGCGCACCGGATACCCGGCCAGAAGATTAATACCCGCAACGCCACCTACCCCGTCCGCCGCCCTCGATCGTGTTTTTT